TAGTTGGAGTAGAAATCCTGAGCAACTTGTTTGGCACACTACACCCAGGATTCTATGGTGCAGAGCGTCAGTCTTTCACGTATGAACGTCGACCTGCTTCTCAAGCTTATGTTCCCCATGATGAGGGTGACTTCTACTATGCTGGAGGATTTTTTGGAGGAACAATAAAGGAGGTTTACAAGCTGTCCAAGAAATGCCATGAAGCCATCATGGTGGACAAAGACAAGAGAATTGAGGCAATATGGCAAGAAGAGAGTCACTTAAACAAGTATTTTGTTTACCACAAACCAACTAAAATACTTTCCCCAGAATACGTGTGGGATGACAATATGGGTAGACCAGAGATCCTTAGGAAAAGGAGGTTTCTTGCTGTACCAAAGAACCATGCTGCAATCAGAAATAAATGAAGTTCTTCTCTGACCGGTCTTAGTGCAGTGGTGGGCAACCTGCAGGCAACATGTGGCCCAAAGTAATTTGATTGGTGTCTGCGAGACAGCGCTCGGTGTCTGCAAGAACCTTTCATTTGGCAGATGAAGAACTAACCACGGTATTTACCTTAGGAGTCTACAAACAATGAGTCCTTCGTCCTCACCCTCTGGGAGAAAACCACTGAACCACAGGAGGTCAGTATTGTCTACAGGCATTCCCTACATTGCTACTGCTTACTGGACTCTTAGGGTACGGCTCTACACGCTAACAAAATATTTTGTGGCCTAGAATCAGATTAACCTGATGGACCACAGGTTGCCCACCACTATCTTATTTCAAACTAACCTAACTGATATCGCAGGTACCCTTGGTTGATGAGAATATACAGACAATTGGTAAGGCTCCATAACTGTTTCTTACAGCTCCAGTGGTTCTGGATATGGGAATGGTTTGCAAAATGACATTTATCATAAGGACACTTTGCTGATTCCATCAATTTCTTTGCCAAAAATACATTGATATTTTTGTGCAATACAGTGGTACTGGCATTATGTTGTATTTAGCGCTGGGGAAATACAGAGACCTGTGGATTCAGATACTTATCCAAACCTCTTTTGCCAGACATCTGATGCAAAGAAACTTTCATGACTCTTCCAATTCTTTCTGCTTTTATTTGGCTCTGAAGTGTTGTGGAAACACAAGAGATATTAATGTGTGAGTGAGTGTGTGACCGTAAGAGGTATTTTGGAATTTCTATTTGTTACAAAACCAAAATATCAGTGGGTATATCTGTGTGTTTAAAAAAAAATTAATACGATTTCGGTGTCCGGTATTTTCTGAATTTACCACCAGACAGGAGCTGAAAATACCGGACTGTCCGGGTCAATACTGGACACCTAGCAATCCTAGCCCAGAGAAGCCTCACACTAGCTGTAGCTGTGCCTCCTCTCCCTTCTCCAGATCCAAGCCGCTGCATTTCATAGAATCAAAGAACTGGAAGGGACCTCTTCATCAAGTCCAGTGCCCTGCATTCATGGCAGGAGAAGCACCATCTAGACCAGGAGTAGGCAAAATATAGCAGCGGGCCACATCCAGCCCACCAAACACTTGGCTCCATCCCACTGCAGCCCAACAGGTGTTTGTCTAACCTGCTCTTAAAAAATCCCCAATGATGGAGATTCCATAATTTCCCTAGAAGTTGTTTTAAATTCAGGAATAAGATTTTATTGTTTTAGGATTTCTTATGTGTCTTAACTCACGAGTTATGTGTCACAGAGAGGAAAAGTCTGTGGCTTTGACACATTTTTAGAATCTCCTTTTGGGATTCAAAGATTTATGAAGTATTAGGAGCACCGCTAATGGGGTTCCTTTCTATTGTGATACTACTTCTCCCATGTCTTCCCAAGAAGCTAAGGTCATTTAAACACAGTCCTATGACTTCAGAAGAAAACATTAATTGAAAATAGATCCGATAACCCTGAGCTTTTTTCATTATAAATGAGATGAAAACCTAAAAATTTGATGCCATTTTCAGCTAGCTGAGATTGAAAAGTTGGATCCAAATAAATCTCAGCTAGCTGAAAATGGCATCAAATTTTTAGGTTTTCATCTCATTTATAATGAAAAAAGCTCAGGGTTATCGGATCTATTTTCAATTAATGTTTTCTTCTGAAGTCATAGGACTGTGTTTAAATGACCTTAGCTTCTTGGGAAGACATGGGAGAAGTAGTATCACAATAGAAAGGAACCCCATTAGCGGTGCTCCTAATACTTCATAAATCTTTGAATCCCAAAAGGAGATTCTAAAAATGTGTCAAAGCCACAGACTTTTCCTCTCTGTGACACATAACTCGTGAGTTAAGACACATAAGAAATCCTAAAACAATAAAATCTTATTCCTGAATTTAAAACAACTTCTAGGGAAATTATGGAATCTCCATCATTGGGGATTTTTTAAGAGCAGGTTAGACAAACACCTGTTGGGCTGCAGTGGGATGGAGCCAAGTGTTTGGTGGGCTGGATGTGGCCCGCTGCTATATTTTGCCTACTCCTGGTCTAGATGGTGCTTCTCCTGCCATGAATGCAGGGCACTGGACTTGATGAAGAGGTCCCTTCCAGTTCTTTGATTCTATGAAATGCAGCGGCTTGGATCTGGAGAAGGGAGAGGAGGCACAGCTACAGCTAGTGTGAGGCTTCTCTGGGCTAGGATTTCCAGGTGTCCGGTATTGACCCAGACAGTCCGGTATTTTCAGTTCCTGTCTGGTGGTAAATTCAGAAAATACCGGACACATAAAATGTCCGGTATTTTCTGGTTTTTTTCCCTGCCACGAAGCAAAAATACCAGATACCTGGCAACCCTACGACACGCTCAGCATCTAGGCCCAGCTCACTCCATCCAACCCCTCACCAGGCCCCCCCGGATACTTCCCCCTCCCTTGCTCACTTGGTTCCACAGGGGCTTGAGTTCTGGAACAGAAAAACAAACTGGGTGTCAGCAAAAAAGACTCTTCTTAAAGGGGCCACGCTGATTTTTAATTTTTAAAAAATTTTTCGCTTGACACTGCTGTCATGATTCAGCAAAATATTTTTTGCGGGGGGGGGGGGGGCAGTGTTTGGTATTTTTGGTTAAACCATCTGGCAGCCCTTCTCTGGGCAGATGAGGGACAAGACTGCAGCTGGCGCAGGGGACCTCTGAGCGAGTGTGCGATAGGGCTGCAACCAACCAGGGAATCCTCTGGTCAAGGAGTGGTGCTTGGGTTTTCTCTGGGTGGAGAGAGATATCAGCTTGTGGCTCCATCCGAGGGAGGGAGACAGGAGCCCATTAACTGTGCTGTCCTGAGCACAGTTACACGGGGCCAAGTGTCAGACCCCCGCCCCTTTCGAAAACCTCCTTCTTCTATTTGCATACCACTTCCGGAAAAAAAAGACAGTGTAGAGCCGTACCCTAAGAGTCCAGTAAGCAGTGGCAATGTGGGGAATTGACCTCCTGTGGTTCAGTGGTTTCTCACACAGATTGTGAGGATGAAGGAATCATTGTTTGTAAACTCCTAAGGTAAATACTGTGGTTATTTATTCATCTACCAAATAAAAGGTTCATGCAGACATAGAGAATGGGAAAGAAAATCTGCTTTTTCTTTTTCTCACAAAATGTGGAACTTTTCAGAAGGGAATTCCTTCCAAGGTCTCTTCCAGCTCTATGGTTCTATGATTCTATGACTGGTGGAAGCGGCCGGCTCGGCAGCCTTGGAACATGCAGACCCCACCCTAGTCACCCAGTAGGTACATGGGAAACAAAGCGCCACAGAGGTGCTGAAGAACTTGTCTTTGCTGCCCTCTGCCGCCTGGGAGACCTGCCCCAACTTCTCTCCTGGGGTTTGCCACAGGGGGGCCTAATTGCCCTAGCACGGCTCCCACCGCCCCTTTGGGAATAGGGGTGACAGGCAGCGGCCCAGCCTTGCCCCCTCCCCTGCTGGCAGGGGCAGCCCCGGGTCCAGGCGCAGGTCAGGGGCCTGAAGAACTTGTCTTTGCTGCCCTCTGCCGCCTGGGAGACCTGCCCCAACTTCTCTCCTGGGGTTTGCCACAGGGGGGCCTAATTGCCCTAGCACGGCTCCCACCGCCCCTTTGGGAATAGGGGTGACAGGCAGCGGCCCAGCCTTGCCCCCTCCCCTGCTGGCAGGGGCAGCCCCGGGTCCAGGCGCAGGTCAGGGGCAGGCAAGGGCCCGGGGTGGAGCAGCCTCTGAGGACAGGCGCTACTCAGGGCCCCTCTCACGGCAAAAGGGCTGGTGATTTTCCTTAGGGGCGGGGCAGTGCTACTGTACAACCGCTCCTCCCCCTCTCCCCGGGGGGAGACGCGCGCCTCCGCCTCCCCGCCTCCCTCCCTGCATTTCCAGGGCAACAGGCAAGCGCCTGAGAACTCGCGCCGGTGTGCAAAGTTTCTCGCGAGAAGATGAGTTCTCGCTCCCTATGTCTCTGGCATCCCAGGTTGCCACAGAGACCAGGGTACACCCAAGATCGCTTTTCCCCCGCCTCTTCCTTGAAGCCCCGCCCTCTCTATTCTCCTCCTCTCCATCACTTGCTATCCCCAACCCTTATACTGCTGCTTTTTTCCCCAATTCTTCTGTAGGAAGAAGTTTTTCCAACATTTGGCCTGTCTAGACTGGACCAAATGTCAGAAAACCCCTTCTTTTAGAAGCCCCCTTATTCCTCGTGGAAAGAGGAATATAAGGGTGACTGAATGGGGACAGGTTTCTGAGGCTGGGGAGTGAGGAGAGGGAGCAGTGGGGGCAGAGAATCCCCTGCACCTGCCTCCTCCCAGGGAAGCGGGCGCATGCCTCCTGTGGCGCAGCCAAACCCCCCCACACGCCTGCCTCGGGGCCAAACCCTTCTCTTGCAGCGCAACCAAACACCCATGTGCGCCCACCCTGGGACCAAACCCCAGGGCCGACCCCTGTGCTCGACTCCCCCCTCCGGCTCGAGCCCCCACCCAGTGACCTGGGAAATCTTACATACACCTCTGGGTGCCTCAAAAGAGGCAATTCTTCCCCTCTCGCAAGCACAGAGCCTCAGTATAGTAGCAAACCTTTAATAGCATGAGGTAACCGACATC